AATGCGAAAAATAAAGTATAGTAGTCGATTGTTATAGCAAATATATGTTTGCTTCATCGACAATCCCACCTAAGAATATGATATGGCAAAAAGGCCTGGCCTTCCTTAAAAATCCCCATTTGCCCTGTGACCTAAAAGTCGCTCCTGGCAGTGTAGCCGAGTGGTTAGCGTGTCAAGCTCCCATCCTGCACTGTCGCGGTTCGACTCCTGCTGAGGGTGTTGATAATACCGATGCGAGATCGAAACCACAGTCCACTGGTGCCTGAATGAGAACAACTTTTTGGAAAGCAAGGCTATGTGAAATTGAGTGGAAACGTCAGCTTAACTCATATCATTGTGGGAAAATTCTTCTTCTACCAGTCCTTTATCACCTTGAACGAAATTAAGTGAATACATCTCATATTAATAATAGACAGTAAATATTTTAACTTTAATGGTAAATTGTACGAACAAACCTGAGGTTTAGATATGGTATCGTGTTTTCCTCAAGCTTTAAATAATAATTAGATGGCTCAATCGGAAGTCCGGCTTTTAAATTGGTCCGAAACCAATGGTCAGATGATGGTTGATTAATTTGCTATCTGACAGCATGGAAAAGAGTGTTTGGAAGACTTCCTTGAGTTAATGAATAGAGTAGATAAGGTAACTAAATTGAATATGGAACTAGAAAAGGATAATAAGCTACCCTTTAGAGATGTCCTAGTTAGTAAAGAAGGGAATAAACTGGGTAGAGATGTATATAGGAAACACATAAATGTTGGTTTACATTTTGATTTCTTCTCGATGCATACTTATGCTGTTAAAGTTGACGCATTGAACTCAATTCTAATAAGGATTTTATGTCTAGCGGGCGTAAATCATCAAGAATAATAGTGAAAAAAGGCTAATAAAAAGCTACGTTGAGAACAATTATCCGTTAGGATTAATTTTTGACACCTTCCAAATACTAAGAAATAGGGTGAAAAGAAACCATTAGTTGAGACAAAATAAGGAATTAAAAACTCCTTGTCCATATTTCTAATGCTAAAATCCTGAAAGCTTTCAAGAAAGATACGCAAATTTCTGAGGAAATGGAGCCTAACGACAATGTATAAAAACACAAAAACTTTTTCCTCGATTATGCCTTTCTTTAGAAAATCTCTAGACGCACTCTACAGATCAGGTTGTTATAAGGTTTTGTGCTCTTGTGATAGTGTTTATAGAGGGGAGACATTTCAAACCATACATAAGAGGCTATCAGAGGACAGAACCGCCTGCAAAGCTTTATGGATTCAGAAATCCGAGGGGACTGAACATGTGGGCATTACAGTAAACCAGATATCCCAACGTTTTGCCGGATATGAGGACTTCAGAGCTTAGCTGAATATCAAGGACTTGATAAAAATTAACAAAATAAATAATATCCTGAATAAGAGGAACAAATGTAGGAAACAATGTATGGATTATCTCTGGCTGCTAAATAGAATCAGAGAGAGAGATAGAGGGAGAGGGAGAATGAAAAGGAACAGGAAGAACAACTGAGTAATAGGAGAAGACTGGACTAGGTTGGAGTCTGTTTTTGGACTTAAAATTTCCAACCATTTCGTGAATGTTGCATACACACTCAAACGCGCATCCATGAGGTTCTAACAAGACCCAGGGTTACATACTCATATACAAGTTTATTTCAATAAACAAAATTTGTGACCACATTCGCTCCCCTTCTTGCATAACTTTGATCCGCTTACATCCATGTAGGACAAGCATAAAACAGCCAACCAAATCATGAAATGTCTCATTAAGATCAGAAATTGAGGTACTAGATGTAAGTAGGATCTCACCTGGCCACCTTTCTTGGTTTAGTGTTTTTAGTGATTTTTCGTGTATAATGGTCTCTGATTCTGACGTTGATCGTCAAATGACGGATGAAAACTCAGCACGGAGTCATCAAGGTCGTTGGACGGTGAACCGAGGTCTATTCCACACAATTCAACAGACAAAAGTTGATTACAACCATACTTCGGTATCCAATAAGGCCATTCTACGACTTCTTTCCACCCTTCTCAAGCGAAATGGAAGGTATGTCAGTATCAATTGACTTAGTGAGTCTTCGAAACCGAGCTTCTCTTTATAAACACAAGACAAACTAAAGTGAGGTACAACTTTAAATAAAGCAGTGCTTGTTAATACGATCTGAACATTTTGCCTTAGCACAATCCCTTTCATTATGACTATATCTGTTATTTATTCTCGCCCGAAATCTACTTAAATCCACTGTTGCAACTAGAAGAGCTTAATTGTACAATACATTTTGGTCACTTTTCGTTAAGGATTCATATATCTTACTCTAAAGTAAAATACTCTTATAGGAGATAGCAGGCTACAATCTCATAGTAAGTTCGATCTTAACTCACCTACCAGTCAATATAGAGAACATCCAAAGCAACATCTAATTTATTTGTTTTTCTACTTATCATTCGCATAAACAATTTTCACGACTACCATATAGACCTCTTAGATAGTCATTTATATAAATTCCGCTTAAAGGGGTCAAACTAAACATATCAATGTGCTTGCCGCCAAGAGAATAAGATGAGTTTGAATGATTCAGAATCTATTATAATTCAATAAACAATGGATTATAAAGTGCGGCTTGATCTGTTAGGTATAATATATTTTGTCATCAAATGGCTTGTAAGATCAAGCAGGTCAACTTTAATTGAGGATGTGTTCTCATGTTGTTATGTACAAAAAAATGAAATATTTCTGGAAGACTTTATCAATGGACGGCTATCAACTCGAAATTTGTGTTTTGGAATTCATAACATATATTAGCTTAAGAGTGAGAATGTTTTAAACCGTCTAAAGTAGCATTATATAAAGATACTGGCTAAAAACTCGGGAAGTATAAGTAGTGGAGAGTAATAAAAGGATTGGAAATAGCCTAATGGAGTTTGTTTAGTTATATTTCTCTGCATATTACTGGTAGGTGTAAATTCATTGGACCACTTCCTGTATTCTTGCGAACTGCAGGCATATGTACAGTGAAAGACCTGTATGTTATTCATAGGATATTTTAGCATACTCTTTGATAAGAGAGACATTAGCAAATAGTTTTAGGTAATTGAATTTTCCAGGAGCTTGAAAGGCAAAGTCAATATGTTAATACGACAGGGTAAGAGATTTACATATCAGATTCTCGATTAAGATCGTGATTATTTGGATCATAGCTGTCTTCGAGGAACAATGATGAACCTTGGATGCTTTCGCGTTGTTTCAACTCCATATCGAGCCTGGAGGCAGTTTTGACGGTGGCTGAAAGTGCCGACGACTTCAACTCCAGGCTTGGCACCAAAGAGACACTGGAAGCAACAGTTTGACTTTCTGAGTTGTACAGATTGTCATTCGACAAAGAGGTGTACATACGGGTTTCCTCATATACAATAAATTCACGGATAACTACGAGTGAGACGAGCACAGCGTGCACAAGTATGGCCAAAAATATGGAGGCAAAGAAAAAAGAGAGGAGCAAGGCAGGTTTCACAAGATCTAAATAGTCTTCTTC